TATCCCCTGTGTGCCTTGTCGACTCAGTTTTGGAAAGACTGGCATTAAACTTTTGCTGCATGTACTTTTGAATGGTTAAACGGGTTTTAAAAAGAAATTTTTGTTTCTATGTCTAATTAAATACTTGGCAACTTGTATGATCTCATATTTGTTTTAGGACAATTTTTATTTGTTAAAATAATATTTTTGGTTTAGGAAGGATGTAACGTACGATACTTTTTTATATACTTGGCGTAATCTTTTTCTTTTTTTAAAAAAGAGTTTTGGTAGGATTCTATTTTCTTTGTTGCAGGACGAGAGTGGACATTTACAGCATTCAACCAACGTCTAACTGTTCTTACTGAAATATTTAAATTTCTGTTCCGTAATACAGTAGCAACTGATTCGAATGGATTTTTATCCATAGCTCTAATAATTTCTTCATTTTCTTCTGGCGTTGTTTTTTGAGGATCTTTGAATATTGATTTTTCCGATGATCTTGAATATTGTTCGTTCCCTCTTATTCGTATTTAGTGATTCGAACGTGCAACAGTTTGACGACTGCATTCTACAATGCGGGCAATATCTGTTTTATTATGACCTGCATGATGTAATCCTATTCTGCCTCTATCTGCTGTACTTAAATTCGCGAAAATGTGTCTCTCCATTTTAAACTTCTATTTATTCCTTTTATATTCAATTATTAATATTAGTTATTGTAATATTTTGACACCGTATTTATGTTGCCACGGTAACATATACCAATAACTAGTATTAATAATTGAATATAAAAGGAATAAATAGAAGTTTAAAATGGAGAGACACATTTTCGCGAATTTAAATACAGCAGATAGAGGCAGAATAGTCGGATTACATCATGCAGGTCATAATAAAACAGAAATTGGCCGCATTGTAGGATGCAGTCGTCAAACTGTTGCACGCTGGATCACTAAATACGAAGAAGGAGGAACGAACAATATTCAAGATCATCGGAAACATAACAAAGGTCCTCAAAAAACAACACCAGAACAAAATGAAGAAATTATTACAGCTATGGCTGAAAATCCATTCAAATCAGCTGCTACTGTATTTCGGAACAGGAATTTAAATGTTTCAATAAGAACAGTTAGACGTCGGTTGAATACTGCAAATATCCTTTCTCGTCCTGCAGCAAAGAAAATAGAATTAAAACCAGAACATCGAAGACAAAGACTACAATTTGCAGTACAACATTTAGATACACCCCAGGAAGACTGGAACGCTATTGTTTGGATGGATGAGAAAGTTTTCTCATCCGCAGAAGATGGGCGTTATCGTGTCTGGCGACCAGCTGGGGAGCGGTTAAATCCAAGATACGTTATCCCATCAGGATATAGTGGGAGAATTACAATAGGATTTTGGGGAAGCATGACTGCCAATGGATTATTAGATCTCGTAGAAATATCACCGAGAATGGATGCTGAGGAATACGTAGAAATTTTAGAAGTATTAAAACCTAGCATTAGACGTATTTATCCCAAAGAACAATATCCAGTAGTGAAAATTGTGCAAGACAACAGTTCCGTTCATACCTCTAGATTAGTGCGAGCATGGTTTGAAGTAAATCCAGATATTCAACAAATTCAATGGCCAGAAAAATCTCCAGATTTAAACCCTATTGAAAATGTTTGGGCTCATTGTCAGATGAAAAAATCATGGATAGCTGGCCAATTACAGACTAGAGAAGCATTAAGAAACCATGTGCATCAAATGTGGAACGAATTATCTGTACGGGTGGATTACACGCAGAATTTAGTAAATTCAATGCAGAGAAGACTTCAATTAGTCATTGATAATAATGGATATTGGATACCATATTAGTAAGTAATATCTTGCAATAGTATACCTATGTTTAAATAAAAAAAGTACTAATAAGTTTGTTGTTAATTACAAATCATATTTTGTTTTTCAGAAATGCAATATTGTGTGTC